GGGAAGGACGAGGTCAACGACGGTGACGATGGCGATGACGACGACGACGATGACGATTATGCTGATGATGACGGTGGTGGGGGTGTTGACGATGCTGACGATGATGGTTCTGATGATGATGCTGCTGCTGATGATGATTATGCTGATGCTGTCGGTGATGCTTCTGATGTTCAGGCGGATGTTGATTATGAACACGATGATGGTCCTGCTGAAGCTGATAATGATGATGCGGATGTTGATGATGATGATGGTGATGCTGATGCTGCTGATGATGATCTGATGGTGATGATGATGCTGATGATGCTGATGATGATGATGACGATGACGATGTTGCTGCTGATTTGATGATGGCGACGATGTGGATTGCTATGATGATGGCGATGCCGATGGCGATGCTGCTGCTGCTGTTGGTGATGATGATGATGATGCTGCTGCTGATGGTGCTGCTGGTGATGCTGATTCGGATGGTGAAGTTGTTGTTGTTGGTGGTGGTGGTGTGTGTGGGTGATGCGGCAATAATGGCGGTTATGATGAGGATGCTGCTGATGATGTTGATGATGATGATGGCGAGGCTAATGATGATGATGAGGATGATGATGATGATGATGATGATGGTAGTGATGATGATGAGGCTGAGGATGATGATGATGATGATGATGATGATGATGATGATGATGTTGATGATGATGATGATGATGCTGATGATGATGATGATGATGATGATGCTGGCGGTGATGATGATGAGGAGGATGATGCTGATGACGATTATGGTGATGATGGTGCTGATGATGATGCTGATGATGCTGCTGCTGCTGATGATGATGATGATGATGATGATGATGGTATGGTGGGTGGGAGGAGGAGGCGGAGGAGGAGCAGGAGGAGGACGACGCCGGCAGTGGTGGTGGTGTTCACAACAACGACTAGGACGGCAGTGATTGTGGTGGTGATGGTCATGAAGGAGGAAAGAAGGGGGAGAATGAGAAGGAGGATGAGGACGAGGAGGAATAGGGAGGAGGAGGAGGAGGAGGAGGAGGAGGAGGAGGAGGAGGAGGAGGAGGAGGAGGAGGAGGAGGAGGAGGAGGAGGAGGAGGAGGAGGAGGAGGAGGAGGAGGAGGAGGAGGAGGAGGAGGAGGAGGAGGAGGAGGAGGGGGAGGAGATAGATACAGAGAAGGAGATGGCGACACACGAGGAGTATGGCACATTGCATATTGTGCACCTTGCCTAGCGCTCGCGAGCATCATTTCGTCGGGGGTATATCTGCTGAGCACTTGGGTCCTCCACCACGAGATGCGGCCCCATCGACCTCGGAGATGGAGCAGCGCAAGGCCCGCGCCGCGGGCCCATGAAGAGCACGCTGCCGCCCGCCGCCTGGCACCGACCCCTCTGGGCCAAGCCGCCACCTGTCCTCGGACGGACCCCTTGGCCCGAGGCCCTCCATAGGCCAGATGGAGAGGGGAATGGTCAACGGGCGAGGCGGTGAAGGGCGGCGAGGGCTCGAAGATTTCAGACTTGGCAGCAGCGTCGTCGTAACGAGTTGGATGAGGAAGAGCAGGAGGATGAGAAGGGCTATGAGGATGAACAGGAGGAGGAAGAGGAGCTGGAGGAGGAGGAGGAGGAGGAGGAGGAGGAGGATGAGGAGAGGGAGCATGGGGTGGACAAGGGGGAGCAAGCAGTAGCAGCAGCTGCAGCAGCAAGGAGGAGGAGGAGGAGGAGGAGGAGGAGGAGGAGGAGGAGGAGGAGGAGGAGGAGGGAGGAGGACAATTATGACGAAAGAAAGAGAAGGATGAGGAGATAGATTTGTGGAGGAGGAGGAGGAGGTAGTGTCCGTCCCGGCCATCTGGCTGTCGCCGCGGCCCGCGAAGGCAAAACAGCTGCGTACCTGTTGCCGATCTTGGCCGCCCTCGAGAAGTTGTCCAGGCAGGTGCAGGAGAGGAGGAGGGGAGTAGTGGAGGAGGGGAGAGTGAGCAGGAGGATCAGGGGGAGCAGGGGGAGCACAGTGAGAAGTGATACCGACAAGGATGATTAGGAGGATGATTATCATGGTGATAGTGATGGTGACGCTGACGGTGACGATGACGATCCTGCTGATTGTGATGATGGTGTTGATGGTGAGGAGGAGACGGACGATGAGCATGATGAGAGTGATGCGAATGATGAGCAGCGCCACATCTGAGAAGCAGGCAGCGTGGTGGTGGTGGACTGCGTAAATAGCCGTGAATTTGAATTCACGGTTACCTTGGGCCGAGTGGTCAAATCGCGGCCCGCTTGGTGGGGCAGGACATCTTCGATTAAAGTGTTCCTGGTGGGGTTGGTATTGGTCGCCACGGCAATGGTCGTAAAGGGTACGGAGATAGGGCTGGGCGGGAGCATGCGCACACGGGATCACGAGCCAGACGTTCACACACGAGCAGCAGGACGGGTACCAGAAGCACGACACTGAAAACGACGACAGATATTGTCAGCATGACGCCGAGCAGCTCGACAGAGTGGGAGTAGCCGCTAGCGGATCTCACATGCAGGGACGCGCCCAGGCGTTGAGGCTCGGTGATAAAACAACCGCGCTGTGTCGGCCCATTCGTTCATGGACACATCGATGAGGCAAAATCGTGCTTCCTCGCTTCAAGTAATGCTTTGTATGCCTGATGTGGTCCAGAGAAGCTTATCAGCAAAAAGACGGCACGTAGCATCACGGTTCGGATATTCACTGGTGAGGTTCACGCCGGTTAATCGCAGTATGTCGTTGATCGACACGCCGGGTATCGGCAGGATTGCGATGCGCAATGCTCAGGAGTTTTGTAATGCAACGCGCTCATGATTCAGCACGAGTCTGACACTCACCACTGAGCAACATGACAGTGGCCAACAGCAAGTCACCACGCAGCATAATGGTCACCAGCTGTATGACGCTGGGCAGCATGCCAGGGCGGCAGTCGACTGCTGGTCGGGACGACGACGTGACCTTACACGACTCCGACGCCCAATAATCATGACGATGCCAACCAATATCACGACGCTGCGTTGCACGTCGGGTACCAGTACCGCGCCGATGAGCAGCACCAAGTGCCCCAGCGGCATGACACCGATTTAGCGCAGTTTTCCGTCGATGTATCGCCGAGTAGCGTCGATTTAGCCCCGGTGAGCGTCGATTCGCAAGAGCCAACAAAGTGGTATGGGAGGCTCCCGTGAGTGCTCTTGCTGCATTCCAGGGCGGGAATTTATCCATATCCACCGCCTGGAGGGTCCGTGTCCGGAGCCTCGGCAGGCGGTGGATGTGGACATATTCGGGCCCCGGGGGGGCCGAAATGTAGCCATATCCGCCGCCCGCTGGGGCACCAGGACGTCAGTTCCCAGGCGGTGGCAAGGGATAAATCCCCGCCTCGCATGCATGCGTCGAGTTGTAAGAGCCAGCAACGTGGTATGGGAGGCTCCTGTGGGTGCTCTTGCTGCATGCTTCAGGGGGGGAAAAAACACACAGACACAATGAAGCGTCGATTCCCAGGAGACTACGGGAAAATGTGGGAAGTGGGGGGGGGGAAGACAGAAACCCAGAAAAAATATGGGAAACTAGGGGGAATCTGGTGATTTGTGTCTACTTCTTTGTGTGTCCCAGTTCCCCTTCAATGCTGTCTGTCTTTTTACCCGGGGGGCTGGCTGGTTCGCCCCCGGCTGCCCGAGCCAGGGCGCCAGCGCCTTCCGGGTGCCGCTCGGTGCTCGCGCGGCCGCCTGCTCCTCTGTCGGGTGCTGGGCGCCCCGGCCCTGCCCGTGCCATCTCCGCACGGGGTCTGGTATCAAGTCGGGCCTGTCCTTCTACAGGAGGACAGGTCAAAAGTGGTCAAACAAAAAACAGTGTGGGGACGATTTTTGGGACTATGCTTGCATATGTTTTTGGTATTTTTGGGGTATCTTTTTCGTCCAAAAACCATATGTGGGGGGACACGCCCGACTTAAATCTAATGTCCGCTCTCTGCCATTCGGCACAGTGCTTCCTTTCTTCCCTCCCTCCCTTCCCTGCTCGTGGGCCGCGCCCTTCCTACACACCCTCCCTCCAGCGTTCCGCACTGCTGCTGCTCGACGCGGCCGTGTCCTCCACGGTACTGGTGTGTGAGCGGTGCCCGGACGCTCACGGCGGCGCGAGAGCAGACGCTGAACGCAGCCATGCGAAAGTTTTGCTTCGAGAAGCTGTCGGCGCACGGAGGCTGGAAGAGGAGTCGTGTGTTGAGTGGTTTGTGAGTGCTACTCGGCGGGCAGAAGACGCATACTCGCAGACCAGCTTGCCTACCTTCGACGAGCGCGTTCCACTACTCGCAAAGTCACTACTCGCAAATGGCATGGATCCCCCGCGGGGGATCTACGATAAATCACATTGAAGCAGATATTTGTTTTCGGACGTTTGCGAGTAGGCACTTTGCGAGTAGTGGAACGCGCTCGGCAATACCTGGTTGCAATCGCAGGGCTAGACAACAGCAATTTTACATGACAAGCGACAGTCTTGCAATGACCGGAGTTGGAGCCGAGTTGCGTTGCGCTCGGTTCCATCCGGGTACCGATCTATTGGGAGACTTCTAAACAGATGGGTTGCTTAACGCTGCGCAGCGCTGGCTGTGAGAGTGCGAGAACGCAGCGGCTGCTTCTTGCCCCCGTCGCCTCCCTGCTCCCCTCCCTCCGATGGGTGCTGTGCGAAGTGCAAGCGACCGTGGCGCCAGCTGGGGCGAATGCGCGTGGTGCGTTTTGTTGGCGCAGTTCCCTCTCTTGGCTTATGGGCTGTTGCTCGTGCGTGAGCGTCGCCTGCTGTCTGGGGTGCCGCTAGCCAGGCCCTCTTTTGCTCTTCTATTCTCTCTCTTTCCCTCTCCTTCCTCCTTGTGCGCCTCTCCGTTTTCGACGCGTTGCGAGGCATTCCCAGTTTGCCCAGCGATGCTCCCTCTCATGCCGCGGTGGCAATCGTGCAGTGCAGACATGTTGTCCCCTCCTCTCCTCCTCACTCCCTTCCGGCCCTCCCTCCGTCCCTCACTCCTTATCCTCTTTCGCTCCCTGCCCTTACTCCCTTCCTCCCCCCCTCCCTCCCTCCCTCCCTCCCTCCCCCCCATCCTCCTCCCTTTTCCTCCCTCCTCCCCTCAGCGAAGATTTGGGTCTGATATAGGGCATGTGTAGTATCTGTTCTTATCAGTTGAAAGCATTGCTCAGCTTCGCTTAGAGGACTGTATGACTGTAATAACATCGGGGTTCAAGCTCTTTGAAAACAGAGCGATCTCCGCTCTGGTAGCGGAGCCGCCCATCGGGCGGCGCGCGCGGCCCCGCCCCGCCAGGCCGCAGCCGCGATATACGTCGTGGACATCGCTACCGACAAGGTCAGCAGCGCTACCGACAAGGTCAGCAGCATCCTCATAGAGGACATATTCCAGTATCCGAATATCGACGGCTCACGGTTTGGTGGGACGTCCCGCTCCTGAAGTGGGAGACCATCTCAGACGAGAGCAGCATCACACCCGGTAAAGTATACGGATATCCGATCATTCACACCCGGTCAAGTTTACGATAACCGATTGATTTACACCCGGTGAAGTTCAAGACAGTCTACAGTGCTCACACCCGGTGAAGTTCAAGATAGTCTACAGTTATCTCATTGTGAAGTTCAAGATAGTCTACAGTTGTTTCACGGTGAAGTTCAAGATAGTCTACAGTTATCTCATTGTGAAGTTCAAGATAGTCTACAGTTGTTTCATTGTGAAGTTCAAGATAGTCTACGGTTGACACCATGGCGGACTACTCAAGACCTCAGACTCTGCCTTTGGAGGAGAGTACACGTCAGGTTCCTCCCGGCTGGAAGCCGGGCATTCCGAAGTACAGCGTGAAGAAATACCTACAAAAGTTGTCTTTGTGGTGGAGAACCAAAAACGTTGATGATGACGGAGTGGCAGCTCTTCTTGTGTTGCAGCGTCTTCAAGGAGGAGTTTACAAGCAAGCGTTGAGGTTCAAGGTTGAACGGGATGGCAGAGAGTACATTGGAGAGAATGCGTTCGCCCTGGAGAGAACGGAAGCAGACGAGCTACACGGAGCACAAGCGCATCTCTCAGGACTTTCTCTCTTCACTCGTTGGCTTGAAGGCGAATATGGACTGCGCGATCAAGACACAGTCGGAGTTGCACTCGACAAATTCTTTTCATTCAAGAGAGGGCCCCGAGATCTCGGGCAATACATTTCAGATTTCGAACTTGTGTATGATGAAGCGGCAGACCAAGCAGGACTCAATATCAACGCAGTTGGACGGAGTTACTTGTTGCTTCAGGGATGCGACCTCTCCATCAAGAAGGTCGACGACATCAAACTCAAGATCGACGGGGACCTCAGACGGTATAATGACATCAAAGCTATCATGACACGTCTCGCCAAGCAGTCACTGGCTCAGAACAACCCAGAACAGTACGAAGGCTTCTGGGTCGACTCAGATGAAGAAGAGTACTGGGATTACTACGGCTACTACGACGACTACGGCCAGTGGCAGTACTACGAGGATGACGAATGGTGGGACGAGGAAGAACAATATGACGAGCAGTATTCTCCACCCGGGGCTTCAGCAGCAGATGACGAGGCGTACAAGGGATCCGGCAAGGGCAAGAAAGGAAACCCAGGCAACTGCAGCAAGTGCGGTTCGAGATGGCATCGATCTGAAGACTGCCCTGCCGCAGGCAAGAAGGACACCAAGAAAGGCGACGACAACAAAGGGAACGGCAAAAGCAAGTCGGACTCGAACAACGGCAAGGGCAAGTATCGTGGCGGAAAGAGCCGCGGTCGAGGCAAAGGACGAGGAAAAGGTTACCGTGGCAGAGGCAAAGGCAAAGGCAAGAAGAGCAAGGGCCACTACGGTGACGACTACGACGAGGAGTACTCCGACGATGATTGGGACTGGAGTACCTCTCACGGCAGTTGGTATGCGACGAGAACCAAGACCCAGAACAAGGACGCGCTGTGGACCTTCAACACTCGAGCAGAAGCTCATCATGGTTCATCCTGGTCTTCACTGCAGACAGTACCCTCCTACAGCCTGGACGACCCGGAGTCACCAGACATGGGGCAAGGATTTCAAGAGACCTCCTCAGCGTCAGCATCGAAACCCACCTTGGCTCCTTCGGCACAGGCAGCAGGACCAGCATCACCAAGACCGACTCGGAGAGCTACGACTGGAGACTTCATGCCAGACATGGGCTCTCCTGGTCATGCCTCTACCTTTGACGATGACGAGGAAGCCGAACCCCGTCGCCTACCTCGCGGAATCGTTCCTGGAGGCTTGGATTTTCTTGTCAGAGAAGTTCAGAACTTGTGCTACGAAGATCAAGTATCACAGCAGAACAATCACAACGTGCACGAGGTCAACACGAGCTATCATTCTATCAAAGGCACCAAGAGGTTTGGTCTGCTTTACGATCCTGGTGCATCGTCAGGCATCATCGGCACGGACACGGTACGGGAATATCAGCAGGAGATTCTCGGCGGCGCAGAGATCGAATCCAGACCAACCCGAGCTCAGTTCACGGGCATCGACGGCAAGCCTACACCTGGCATCGGCAAGGCGATCGTACCACTACGCATCCCAGCCATGAAGGACGCGACGTTCACTGGAGACATGATCGGAGGCATGGGAAGCTGGTGCCCGGCTCTGATGCCATTGCCAACCTCGATCAGATACAGGGCCATCATGTTCTCGGCGATGTTCGACAACGGTGACGGCATCCTGGTGATCTTCCCTGACAATCGACGACTTGGCAATCGAGCTACACCAGTGTATATCAGGCTCCTGTTGACTGACTCTCGGCACTACATCATCCCGACGGACAACCAGCATATCCGAGAAGAAGTTGATCAACAATATCTTCATGGAGTTCTTCTGGACCATCTTCAAATATTCTGGGACTTCAAACCATCCCGCTCTGGAGGCAGATCGGCGGAATTTCAAGTGGATACAGCGCCCGCGGACACTAGCACCGGAGCGAAGTCATCGACTTTTTCGGGCATGAGCAGGGATGCGACCAACCCAGAAATTCTGAAGCAGCTGGACCATCTCAGCAAGAGCATCGAGAGCATCAAGGATCACATCGGCCAGCCCGCAGCTCCCAACACGCACCACTTCGTGAGCATGGAGACGGCATTCGCTGGACACAGTTGCGGAGACGACAAGTGCACTCAAGACCACCAGTATCCTACGAGGAAAACGACTATTACAAGAACACAAAACTTCTGGAAGGTCTGGGGCATGTTCAAGGGCAGCGGCTTTACTGGCGATATGATTCCAGACGGCCTGAATCCGGCGCAACAAGAACGAATGCAGAAGAACTACCAGGGTATCCCAGAGAAATTCTACACCAAGACGAAACTGACGGTCATTACCCCCAGAAATGCGGACAGCTTCCTGAAACATCTTCAAAATTACAAGATCACGAGCGTGGACATGCAGGAACACTTCTCGGGAAGCAGTACCTTGTCATTCTGGGCATGGAGGTGCGAATTCTCTGTATTATTCCCAACGGACATGAGATGCGGCTGGAACCTCGGGCTGAAGGAACGCCAGGACATCATTTCCAGATTTCAGAAGGCCATCCGTATCCAGGTGAAATTCTACACGCCAGAGTGTACCCCCTGGTCACAGGCGAGTCAGACGGCAGATCCAGAGAGAAAGGCAGCGAATCGCTCAGCAGATCTTCCAGCACTTCAATGGGTATCCGACGAGTGCAAGAACACGAACCTGGACGGCACGGACTACGTCATAGAGAACCCGGCCAAGAGCGCGATCTGGGAGGAGTCACCCTTGAAGGGGCTGCAGAGCGACGAGCGCATGTACAACAACATCTGCGACCAGTGCCAGCACGGAGCTCAGGACGCAGAAGGCGCACCCATCCAGAAACGGACGAAGTTCATGGCATCTTTTCGCATGAGGAGAACGGCAATTCAGTGTCAATGCGTACGTCCCCATGCTTGGCTCGTTGGAGGCGCCCAGACATCGAAGGCCAAGATCTTCACAGAGAAGCTATGCAAGAACATCTTGAAGGACATCGGCAAGCGCATCGAGATGACGCTCAAGACACCATTGGACCTTCTTTTCTGGACGTGCGAGAGGTGCAAGCATGGAAACAAGGCAGGGACACCACATACGAGAACACAAGGGTGCAGGTTCGATCCCAGCCGGAATCCTCCTGGAGTTGCTGGGCCACCACCAGTACATCTCCCTACAGCTCCTGCGGAAGCAGTAGCACCGGCTCCTGTACCTGCAGCACCGGCACCAGCAGCAGTTCCTGTACCAGAACCAGCGGCAGCAGTTCCACAGCCACCAGCTCATGAGCCAGACTCAGAAGTTCCAGAACCACCACCAGGACTTGATCCACAAGAAAAAGAGACGAGTTCTAAGGGCGATACCACGGACCAGCCGAGCATCAGCAGTAAATCACCCAAGAAGGAAATAGTGATCAAGCCCAATTTCGACTTGCAGCGCTTCAAACATCAACTCGAAGAGGCGGCTTCGGATCAAGCACGACTGGCATTGCTCCTGGGATTTCATCTGAAGTTCTGGCACGCTACACCTGATGAGATGGCGAGACTACTGGCGGCCCTTGGAGTGGAACCGAACATCATCAAGCTTTGCCCACAAGTGGTCAAGGATCTGTGCGAAGGTTGTCGCAAGTATGCTATGCCGTTGCACCGACCAGCGTTTCGCGCACACATCACAACGAAGTTCAACGAGCGAGTTCAAGGCGATTTATTCTTCCTGTGGGACATGATATGGCTCATTCTAGTGGACGAGCACATCAGATACAAGGTCATCGGAGTGATGAAGGACAAGACGGCCCCAGAGTACCTACGTTGAATGGGAGAATGTTGGATCAGATTCTTTGGGCCTATGGAGACATTCGTATCGGATCAGGAAGGAGCTCTAACCTCGGACCTCGTTGGAACGACGCTGGACAGGTACACGATCAAGCGAGAGTTTGCCGGCACGGACCCGAACAAAGAGGAGAAGAGTACTACTGGATTGGTGGAATCTCACATTCGTATGACCAAGTCTATAGCGTTGAAGAACGAGGTGGTCGCCAAGCGAGAGGGCCTCAACATTTCCAAGGAGACGCTAGTGTACGAGGCGGCGATGGCGCAGAACTTATTGCTCAACTTCGGTGGAAACACGCCCGCCAATGCACTTTTCGGCTACACTCCTAGGGACTTCTACGACGAGAACTCAGCGACCACCATGGCCCACAAGGGCGCGCTCGAGATTTCACCTGACACGTTTGAGTCGAACGTACGTATGCGATTGTTATCCAAGCAGAATGTCCTGAATACGATCGTTGAGGAACGCCTCGCCATAGCCAATAAGTCTCGACCACAGAAACTGGACACCGAGAGGATCAAGGTCGGTGACAAGGTGGACTTGTATCGCACACCGAGCAAGAAGGATCAAGAGGGCTGGCGAGGACCATGTGATCTACTACATATGAAGAGCACAGGAGCGATCGTGGTATGGAATGGATATCCCTACATCGTTCCACTGCGGCACATTCGGATTCATCAGAGATTAGCAGCTTGGACCAACAGCTACGAGCGTCGACATACAGCATCTTCACCTTCGGTGTACTTGGTCACGGATTATACCGACATGCTTGACATTGTGGAAGGCACGGTTCCGTTCAAGCCGCAGATCGTGGGCATGCTGATTGGCGCCGACGGCAAGATGCGAGCCTCATCCAGTATGGGAGAGACACCTCCCAAGGTTTGGATTCTAGCTAAGCAGTGCGCAGAGGACGAATGGGGAATCAAAATCGACGGTATTGTCTTTGGCAGATGTGTTCGACGGTTGTACGCGGTTACTGGAGCTACTTTCGGACGACAGGTGACTTGGGACTGCACGAGACGCGATCAGTATGTGACAACGGACATCAATCCCAGCAGGCAGGTATTGGACATCATCAATGCCATTCCGAACATGAGCGACGTCAATGCGTGCAGCATCCTGTTCTATTCCTTCTCATCACTGGCAGAAGACGAGGAAACGAAGAAGTATGTCATCCCCGACTTCTCGGACATCTCGGCGATCGATCCCGACGACGAGAGCATGCTAGACCTACCTCTTCAATGGCCTCTATCACCTGATCGTGACCCAGTGGCGGAAGAACAACAACAAGGAGGACAACCACCGCCACCTGGACCGCCTCCGGCACCAGCAGTGGCAGTACAGCATCCTGGACATGGACATCCTCAAGCAGCAGAAGTACATCCTGGACTTGGACCTCCTGCTCCACCAGCTCCTCCGGCAGCTGGAATCCGACTTCGACCCGAACACGACCAACTACCACTTCCAGCAGGACTGCCATACGGCGGAGGACCACCTCCGGGACCTCCACCTGCTCCTGGACGAGCAGTGGCAGCGGCTCCAAGCCCGCAGACATTCGACATCAGCGACACGGCATGGCCGGATGGAGACGTCAGCATCATCGAGGCGGACAGCAACATCCCGCCAAGATCACCGTTTCCACCACCGGCTCCGCAGCGAGTTACCTTGCGCGACGACAACAGCTGGAAGCGAGATCGACAGGCACTGGACGAATCTCAGCAGAGTATCGAAGTGGATGACAAGAGCATGATCAGTGACGAGCAGTTCGTGCCAGAGTCAGGCTCGGGAGCTCCTCCTCCACCACCGGCGCCGCCGGCGGCTGGCTGGAGACCACCATGCGCACCACCAGTACTACCAGTACCCAAGCAGGCAACAGTTCCGAAAGCGACCCCAGTAGCACCATCATCGAAGCCGATCATCAAGGAGACTACTGAAGCGACGCGAGCTCAATCGACACCACAGGCACGACGACGAGAACTTAGCCGATCACCGATCAGAGTAAGGAACGAACCTGGCACTTCGAGGTCATCAGGAAGCACGACTATTCCTGGCGGAACAAGTTCAACTGGGAGCCAACCGACTCCCGCGGCGACGACTGCAACACCGGCAACGACTACGGAAACACCTACGACACAATCTCCACCTAAAGCTCCATCTCCATCCTCAGCAGCTCCATCCTCATCTCCTACACCAACAGCGTCGAGCTCTACGCCGACGAAGACTATGGACAATCCTCCTGTGGTGCAAACACCACCTCCGAAGAAAGCAGCGGTGAGTTCACCATCGGCACCATCTCCTGACGGAGACAAGAGTACCATCGTGTATGACGGAGGAGAAGAACAAGCAACGGTGGACTATGGACCTGCTGAAGAACCAACGCGAGATTATGGATCACCCCCAATGGCGTCATCGACAGGAAAGCCTCAGCCTGTAAGTCCTGGAGTTGTTAAGGAACCAGCTATCTCTCCAGAAGCTGCTAAAGATCTACCTCAAGTGGCTACTCCTCAAGGTGTTCGTAAACATGATCTCTCTCAAGACCTTGAAGATGTACGATTGAAAGTATCACCATCACAACCACCTGAGAACAAGAAGCTAAGGGCCAGTTCAGAACCTCCAGACGGTAAGAGACCACTACCTATCCTGGAAAGGTCGCCACCCTTGTTGACGGACACGAAACGCCCGAAGACGATGGAAGGATTCACAGCGTTCGGCGATCAACAACTCGGCATTCACCATGTTCAAGATCGACACCTGGTCAGCGCCTACATGGACAGCGACGAATTAGACGAGTACCAGACGATCATGACCAGCATGGCCCAGGAAGTTTCAGACAACCTCCAGCGCATGAGCGATAACGAGTTAACATGGACGTCGGAAGAAGCACATTGGACGATACCCGGACCGTTCAAGGAGAGCAGAACGTTCTACTTCGACCTGAACACCGGCGACGCGATATTCGCCCAGAACGACGACATCTTGACCGAGGAAGACATCGTCAAGTACTGGCCGCTCGTCGAGGCGGCAGACCGATTGGAATCGAGGTCGTTCATAGACAATTTATGTTTCAAAGGTGTTCACTACAACAACATGGACAGTTCGAACGTGATCGACGCGGTGTGGGTACGACGTTGGAAGAAGGTCTTCGATAAGGACAACAACATCACGTATATCATTAAGTCAAGGCTTTGCGGTCGAGGTTTCTTGGACGCACAAAAGCAAAACGTGATGAGGCACTCATCGACGGCATCAAGACTCTCACAGAGATTGATTGCATCCCTCTACTCGACGGAGAGCGACATGATCATGGAGACCTGGGACATTTCGACGGCGTTCCTACAGGGACTGAACTACGAGCAGCTGCGTAAGCACGCCAAGCGCATGGGCATCGAGGTTCGTGAACAACGCAAAGTGTATCTTCAACCTCCGGCCAATGTCTGGCGGCACTTTAGGGAGTACGAGAAGAGCAACATCAGGATTCCCGAGACAGAAGTATGTTTCTTTGTATCGCAGCTACTGAAACCCATCTACGGCACAGTGGACGCACCCTTATTGTGGCAGCTGGCTTTATCATTACATGTGTTGGACGACATGAAAGGAGTTCAGAGCGTGTTCGACGATAATTTCTTTATGTGGGTCAAGGACGGCAACATTATGATGGTATGGACGGTGCACGTGGACGACATTATCGTATTGGCGAAACAGGCATGGCTGTTGTGGGGTCTCAATTCCATGGAGAAGCGATTCGGCAAGATCAAGAGACATGAGCTACCTTTCACGCACATGGGTATGAGCTATGAAGTATTGGGCAAGAGACACTTATTCATACACCAACATGTATTCACGGAAGGACTCAAGAAGATCGAAATACCCTTCAAGCTCAAGGACAAGCTCGACCATGAATGCGACGCCAAGTTGACGCACGATTTGAGATCAGTACTTTGTTCACTGTTGTGGCTTTGTCAGACACGAGAGGACATCTACTGCGACGTGGTACAGCTACAGCAGATCGTGAGGAAAAGCAATATCGGACACCTGAAGCAGGCCAACTTGATCGTGGACCGCGCCAAGAGGAACATGAAGATGGCTGGATTGCATTTCGCACCATTATCTTACCCGGTCAGGCTGGTATCGGTTGGAGACGCAGGTCATGGCAACACGAAGACGTCTTATCCCCAGGAAGGATCAGCGGTATTTCTCATGGAGGACCACATGTATCAAGTACGTATCGACAAAAAGGACCTAGTGGACCCAAGTGACAACTACCTCCTCGGAGGCTCAACCCATCCTTTGATGATTGCTTCTGGGAAGTCCAAGCGTATATCTCATTCCACGTGTAACGCGGAGACGAACGCAGGCTACAAGGTGAACCAAGCGGCCCAGTTTATTGCATTACGGATGAGCGAGATTATCATGTGTTCAGAGACACAACATAAGGCAAAGGACATGATGGAGATTTTCGATCGTTCATTGTATCAGGTGAGAATCGACCACTGCACGGACTGCATGGACTTCTGGCAACTATGCTGTGGAGTGAAAGGCGTACCCTCGGACAAGTCAAGCAGGCTGGAAGTACTGAGCATGCGCGAGGAGAGGCTCAGCGGACGCATTCGAAACTTCATCCACCTGCCCACCGAAGTGGTCATAGTAGACGGGCTCACCAAGACGGGCACGTTCAAATTACTCATGGAACATCTGACGACGGGCCGATGGCACGTGAGGCCACCCAAGGGCAAGTACATCACGATACGCCGTGTCAAACATCAGCAGGACAGCTACTCAGAACAGGACTTGCTAGATCTCAACGAGTAGAAGTCGTGGTGACGGTAGTCCTGGGGCTTTGGTCAGGACCTCCACGTCGCCACATGACCATTCAGATGAGGGTCTGGAATTCTCTGAGTTTTGTATTTCTTGGATTGGTTCAGTCTGAGGAGAGAAATTCGAATGCAACTACAAAGGCAGCCAACGAATGATATTCAATGGATAGGCCAATGTACTATTGTCAAGGTGAAGTTCACGATGGAGGTACTACTGCTGTATTTCATGAACATCGTTAACCACCTGTACTTCTTTGAACGAGGCTTGACTGCCTCTTCTGTCTGCATGCTGCCGGCTGCCTGCTTGCTTGCCTGTCTCTTAGACGAGAGGTTTGAGAGATTGTGTATGTGTATTGTAGGTGGAGAATTAGAAGCACCTATATCTATTTTGAGGTGCACCCGCAGCGAATATCATAATTTAAACCCATGATATCCGGGACACTAGAACCGGAGCGAAGATTTGGGTCTGATATAGGGCATGTGTAGTATCTGTTCTTATCAGTTGAAAGCATTGCTCAGCTTCGCTTAGAGGACTGTATGACTGTAATAACATCGGGGCTCAAGCTCTTTGAAAACAGAGCGATCTCCGCTCCCTCCCTCCTTCCCTCCCTCCTTCCTTCCCCTCCTTCCCCTTCCCTTCCCTCCCTCCCTCCTTCCCCCCGTCCCCCCCGCCCTCCCTCCCACCCTCCCTCCTCCCCTCCCTCCCTTTCCTCCTTCCCCTCCCTTTGCGCCACCCAGACCAGGACACCTTGCCGCAAGCCGTTCATTGAAATCGGTCACCGGGATTTCGTCCTGTGTAAAATGCTCCCTCCTCCGTTCTCCCCAACCTCCCTCCCCTCCACATTTACTCAATCTGAATACTACTCTCCCTCTTCCCCCGATGACGGCTTGAAAGTGTTAGCCCCCCCCCCCCCCGCGTATTGTTTTTTACACAGGATTCCCCGGAGTTGGGTTTTCGCCTGCATTTTTTTCCAAAATGCTGCTCTCGCTGAGGCGCCGGCCTCATTTTCGGGCCCCGCTCGTTCCGAATCGTGCTCCCGCTGCAGCGCTGGCCTCATTTCCGTGCTTCCGCTCGTTCCGAATCGTGCTCCCGCTGCAGCGCTGGCCTCATTTCCGCGCTTCCGCTCGTTTCGACTCGTGCTCCCGCTGCAGCGCTGGCGTCATTTCCCGTGCCATGCCACGGCATGCAATGCAATGCTAGGTTGATACTACGCTTTGCGGTGCTCTTCTACGCCATGCCATGCCGTGCTCTACAATGCATCGCGTACCCTTTCGGGATCATTGCCCTGCTCGACATCCGACTGTGCGAGTAGAGAGGGGATCTACGCCATGGTAAGGGATGGGAGGGAGGGGTAGGATGTCAGATATGACGCGAGCGCACCTAGCTTGTCCCTCCCCCCTCCCTCCCTTCCTCCCTTCCCTCCCTCCTCCCCCCCGCCCCGTTTCTCCCTCGTCCCCGCCCTCCCTCCCTTTCCTCCCTCTCCGCTGCCCCCTTTCTCCCTCCTCCCTCGTCCCTTCCCTTCCCGCCCTCTCTCCTTCCCGCCCCGTTCCTTCGACTTCCCCTCCTGCTGGCCGTCGCAACGCCGGCGCCCCCGGGTGGCGCCCCAGAGGCTGCGGCCGGGCGCGCTCGTGGCCGCGCACTATAAACTGCGGGACGGCCGTAGGACTCCCCAGCTGCGTCCCTCGCCACTCGCGCCGTCCTCTTTTTTGTTGTCTCTCTCTCTCTCTCTCTTTCTCTCTCTCTCTCTCGATATCTTTCTATCTCTCTTTCTCCCCCCCCTTTTTCTCCACAATTTAACGCTGTCATGCGCACCTCTCCGAGGGAGTAGGGCTCAGGGGCGATCAGTTGAAGCCAGAGGGTCCCGTCCGCGATGGTTCTGGCCGTATGTCGCTTGACGTATTTGCACATTTCCGAAAATCGCGACGTCAGGGTTCAAACACACATCGCGTTTTTTTCGATATCTTAACGTATAGCCGGAATCTAGAGGTTCTTATCTCTCCCTCAAAGAGTTTGGTCTGTCTGCCACTCTGGCGGCTATGTTGCCGCCGTTCCCGCCCCGTCGCTGCATCGTCGTCACTCGTCGTCTGGGCCTGTCTGCCAATATGGCGGCTATGTTGCCGCCGTCGTTGCCCCGTCGCCGCCTTCTCGTCTGGGCCTGTCTGCCTGTCCGGCGGCTACGTTGCCGCCGTCGCCGCCCCGTCGCCGCTTCGTCGCCGCCCGTCGTCTGGGCCTGTCTGCCTGTCTGGCGGCTGTGCTGCCGCCTTCGCCGCCCCGTCGCCGGCCCGTCGCCGCTTACATTGCACACAACAGAGCCTCCTTTCTAAAAAGGAGTCAGGATCCACCAGCCCGCCGAGGCCGGGATCATCGGCCCCCGTGTGGATGTGCAGTTCACATCAGGGCTGGACCTAAACGGTGTTTTTGGTGATTGCGTGGGCCGTTTTCGTTTCGGCTCCGTTTTGCGGTCAAGGCGGATTCGAGACAAAAGCGAGGGAAAACGACAACAACACGGAGACGAAAACACCGTTCAGGTTCAGCCCTGGTTTACATATGATGCTGCCCCATCGTTCACTCTAAGTATGAATTCCCAGCCAAGTCGACCGGGTTCGACCGCCTCCATGCTCCTCAGAAAAACAATTTGCGCGCACATTCGTTTATCAAACATCGCTAATTGGCAATAATCTTTTGCAGCGAAGCGGGACGAAGTGCGCGCGCGCGTCGTCGAACGCGCATGCCGCAACCTTTCAAACAACTTTTCGGGTCCATGCTGGATTCGAAACCGAGTGTCCCGAAACATACAAACCACATGTTTTTTTTGTTTTTGTGACATGCTTTTTTAAAGAAAGGTCTGCGTGCGCTGTTTTGGATTCTTAGGAAGACCAATCGGCTTTCAACATTAGCATCGCGTGTGACCAAGCGGACCTCCCGCGCGCGCCACCATCATCGTCATCGGCGGGAAGAACATCGGCGCCGTCATGGGCCTTGCCGACGTCATCGTCATCGTCGTCACCCGCGTCGCTACTATCATCATCTTGTCTTCCGTTCTCGACGTCGCTATGATACCGCCCCCCGTCCGGGTCGCCGATTCGCAGCGAAGGCGTCAGCGCGGCCTGTGAGACGCGCTGGGAAGTGCCGAGTGGTCAGCGTCACCGCGGCCGCGTCGGTCGCGCCAGAATAGCTGGCCGTTCTGCTCGCAGACCTACGCGCGCCAGCGCGGCCGCAGCAATGTGCCAACCAGCGCCGAGCAGTTATAGCACTCGCCACCGCATGGGTTTTGCAAGCCAAGTTGCGCGTGGGTGGATGGGGTGATTGCGCGAGCAGTGGCGTTGACTTTTTCAACTTCGGCATGGTGAATTGCGCTGCGCGAGTTGCGCCGCGTAGGTGCGTAGGTTGCACCACGTAAATTCCCCTTTCCAAGAAAGAATGAGGATCCCCCCCGGCTTTATCGGTCCACCTTTTCGTGTTGCAGTTTACGTATGATTCTTCCCCATCGTCCATCCTAAATATGTTTTCATACAATCCCAGCCCAGCTGGCTTCCCCCCCCGTCATCCTCTGCAAAGAAAAACTATACGCGCGCATTCGTCTATCAATAGTTGCCAGTTTTCATGACCCCCTGGCAGAAAATGGGACGAAGTGCGCCCGCGCGCGTTGTCGCGCGCGCATGCCGGTATCCTTCAAAAACCATCGGTTCTGGAAGGGTTTCAAAATCGAGCGCTCAGAAACATATGCAAGCAAAGGTTTCGCATCGCAGATTTCCAATCAAAAAACGTGCTCGCGCGCTCTTGCGAATTCTTAAGAAAGTCACAGGATTCCCAACTTTTCCAAACATTACTACCAAACGGGCTTCGCGCGCGCATGCCGAAACCGTTCGAACGCCAATGCGCGCGTGCCGTCTTGAGAATCCTTTGCAACAAAAAGAGACGACGTGCGCGCGCACGTCGTCGCACGCGCGTGCCGGACCCTTCGAAAACCATCGGTGTCGCAGCGGCTTCAAACCCGAATGTCAAAACACATTCAAAAACACATGGTTTCGCAACATCAATTTTCAAAAAAAGCGTGCACGCGCACTTGCGAATTCTTAAGAAAGCAGTCGATTTTTCAACGTGTTCATGCAATTCTGCCAGACGGGTCTCTGTCGCCGCATGCCGACATCATTCGCGCGCCCTTGCGCGCGTGCTGAGGGGGCACGGTCCGTGTCGGATAAGACCATGCGGGCCGCTCTCGCGAGTCGGCCGCACGCGCGTGTCGAACTCTTTCCAAAGCCTTCATCGCCGACGCGAGGACGTCGTCATCGTCGTCGGCGAGATCAGCATCGGCGCCCGCGCTGGCCGCGCCTTCGTCGGTGCGAACATCGCCACCAGCATCGCTACTATCATCATCGTGTCTACCGTTGTCGGCTTTGCCAAGATGCCGCGCCCGCCCAAGTCGCCGACTCGCAGCGAAGTGCCCGCTGGGATGCGCCCAGCGGTCAGCGCCGCCGCGGCCGCGTCGGTGGCGCCAAACTAGGTGGCCGCTGCGCGCGCGTGCAAGGGTCGGCGCGGCCGCATAGATGCACCAGCCAATGCCAAGCGTGCTTTGCAATCGCCACCGCATGGGTTTTGCAAACCTGGGGGTGGGTGGGTGGGCGGTTGGCAAGTGCATGGGATGAGTCAACTCGTATTGCGCTCGCATAGATTGCACCATGCATATTGCGCACCACATAGGATTCCCCCCCCCCCAGGGCTATCCGTGCCCCTTTTCGAAATGCAATTTGTATATGATCCTGCTCTACCGACCGTCCAACATATGAGCTCGTACTATCCCAAGCAGGCCAGTGTCGACCCCCTCCGCTATCCTGTGCAACGGCTGCTATGCGCGCACGCCCGTTGTTTTACAACCGTCAATTTTGAAGAGTCCTTTGCAACAGATGTGACGTAGTTCGCACGCGTGCGTCGTCGCGCGCGCATGGCGACGTCCGTCAACAACCGACGGTTTCGTAAGGATTTCAGAATCGAACGTTCAAAAGACGTATAAACAGACATGGTTTCGCAACGCGGATTTCCCCAAAAAGGCTTGCGCGCGCTCTTGCGAATTCTTAAGGAAACGGCGAGTTTTCCCAGATATTCATAACATGCTACCAATCGGGCCTCGCGCGCGCATGTCGAACTCGTTCGAACGCCCATGCGCGCGTGCTGTCAGGAGAGTCCTTTTGCAAAGAATGGGGCGGAGTGCATGCGCGCGCGTCGTCGCCCGCGCGCGCCGAAGTCCGTCCAAAAACCATAGGGTGTGCACGTATTTCAAAACCGAGTGTCCCGCAACCAAATAAAACATATTGCGTCGCATCACCTGTTGTCAAAGAATAGCGGTGCTCGCTCTCTTGGATCCCAAGGGAAACCATGCATTTGTTCTCCAGCATGTTCGTTGGAGTGTGCCAAGCGAGCCACGCGCGCCGCATGTCAGAATCATTCGATCGCCCCTGCGCGCGTGCTGGGGTTGGGTGGGGTGGGGTGCGATCCGCGTTGACAAAACCATGCGGGCCACTCTCGCGCGTCGGCCGCGCGCGCGCGATTCGAACTCCTTCATCGCCGACGCGAGGGCGCCGTCGTTGTCGTCGGCGTGATCGACGTCGGCGCCGTCGGTGGCCGTGCCGTCGCCGCTGTCATCGTCGTCGCCAGCGCCGCAATTATCATCGTCATCGTGTCTACCGTTGTCGACGTTGCCATGGTGCCGCGCCCGCCCAGCTCGCCGATTCGCAGCGAAGTGCCCGCTGGGATGTGCCCGGCGGTCAGCGCCGCCACGGCCGCGTCGGCCGCGCCAGACTGGCTGGCCGCTGCGCGCGCGAGCATGCGCGGGTTAGCGCGGCCGCAGAGATGCACCAGTTGACGCCAAGCACTCATCGCAATCGCCGCCGCGTGGGTTTTGCAGACCAAGTATCGGGTGGGTGGGTGGGGTGATTGCGCGAGCAGTGGACTTGACAACTCACTACGATCAGAAATCAATCGCGCAACGTAGGTTGCACCAGGTATATTGCACAGCACTTGCTGCGCCATCCAATTTGCGCCACGTCGAATGCACCTCGTGGGTTGTGCGCCGCATTGGCTGCGCCCCTTATGTTACACCACTTGTACTGCACCGCGTAGATTGTACTATATATTTTTCTAAAAGAGTGCCAGGATCTACCCCCCCCTGGACTTAACGGGCCATTTTTTCGTTTTGCGATTTCCGCATGATTGTGCCCCATCGTCCATCGTAAATGTGAACTCGCATCTTCCCAGCCGAATCGGCAGCGGCGCACTCGTGAATCAAAAGCCAGCAATTTGCAGTAATCCCCTGCGCAGGGAATTGGGGCGAAATGCGCGCGCGCGTCGTCGCGCGCGCATGACGGAATCATTCCTTACGTTTCGCAGGGGTGTCAAATTCGATTGCCCCGACAGCATATACAAACACATTGTTTCGCAACGAGATTTTCCACAAACAGCTGGCGCTCGCGCCCCCGCGAATTCTTAAGAGAACCATTGGTTTTGAACACCTTCATTACTTGCTAGCAAACGGGCCTCTGCGTGCATGACATAATCGCTCGAGCGCCCTTCCGCGCGTGCTGTCGCAATAATCCCCTGAGTCAGATGGGGCGAAATGCGCGCGCGCCCCGTCGCTTTTTTTGTTTTCGTTTTATTTTTGTTGAAAAA